AGACACACACTGCCATTATTTACATCCACCAAAGCTGTTTCCAGAATAGCAAAGTTGAAGAGGAATGATGAGATCGGGCAACCCTGCCTAATCCCACTACTCGAATGGAACAATGGAGAGAGGTGGTTGTATGCCCTCACTCTACCTAAGGTGTTTGTGCGTTGTTAATAAACTTTTCGGGTAGATGATCTCACAGAACAGTAATCACCGTGTTCTAACATTTTGCGGAGGGTGAAGATAAGATCAAAATATGTTCGACCAAAACGAAACCCAGCCTGCTCCTCGCGAATCAATCTTTCTCGAGTTTTGAACGACCTACGAAGTATGATGTAAGCCAATAGTTTGGATGCAATCTCAAGTGGACGTGTCTCCCGACAGTTGTTGTAGAAACGACGTGAACCCTTTTTAAAGATATGGGTAACTATCAAGTCACTCCACGAAGTTGAGATACTCTCTAATTGCAAGATCTTTGTGAACAACTCAGTCAGTTTCTTAACCAGAAAGTTACCAACATTTTTAAAAAGGGCCGAAAGTAAGTCGCTTGAGCCTGGCGATTTGTGGAGCTTCAAAAGTTGAAGTACCTTGTCGATTTCCATCCGATGTGGTTGGGACATCAGACCAGTTAAACTTTTTCTCACAAAACTCTGACCATTGTGCAAGACGTCGGTAGATGTTGCTGATTGACATCCACTCAGCTTCACAAATTATTTCACTCACACCAGACATCGTGCTGACGGTGTTGCGGATGAGCTGTAAGAGCTCCCGATAGTTATCAGGTGCGGTTGCTCCTTCCAACTAGTTAGCACGCTCCGGCCTCTCAGTTCTACGCAAGCTTTACAAAATTTCATTACGTAGCGAACTTCGTGCCTCAATGAGTTGAAAGTAACATGTAGAAACCCAGTGCTTAATAGCGGAACGTTTCGCGTAGCCACAAGTGACTTTATTCGTCATTTTCATAACGTCATGCAATCACAAACAATTCTCATCTACACTTTTCAGTGGAATGGTAGCTAGTCGAACTTGAATCTAGCTCACTTTGATATTAAGTTGCAACAGAAACTACAATCTGTTTAGTGACATCGATCCATTTAGGACGATGAATTCGTTGGCCACTGAAAAGTAAGATGAGATAGTTGCAAACAAGGACATAATCACAGTCCAGAAAGGTACTCCAAAAGAAGCGACAGTCTTGTACACAATCAAGCCAGCGGTAGCTGATCACGATGTGGTCAATCTGAGTCCAGGGTTGAGATACAAGGTGAGGACATCAGGTAGCACATCGATGATGACTGTGACGATAGTTATTGCCAGACAGAAACAGGTTGTTGTCTGCGCAAAGCGCCAGTTGACGGTCATCGCCGTTATTTGACTAGTGACCAACAAGTCCCCATCAGCCACCTACCTAAACCACTCTACTCTGTGCCCAGACGACCAACCTGAGAATTCGAGTCTCTGGCTAATACTACAATATCCGTCGAATGCAGTCTTTATAGAACAACACTTAACTGGTTGTACAAATCATCATACATCGCATACGGACTGTAATCTGTCAGGGTTTACACCATAGGTGAGCTGCTCAAGGAGTTGAAGAATGACGAAATCTATGAAATAGGAATAAAATAATAAACAAATGACTCAACGTAAAAGGAGGGCGATTATTAACAAATAGTTCTGAGCAAGATTTGGGTGAATGGGAATTAAAGCTTGGGTAGTTTTTCTAACAGATCTCATCACTTGGATTTTGAGTGGGTGCGTTCGACCTAGAGATCTAATCCACAAGGCAGTGGACCAACGTTAGGAGATTAAATCCGATGGTAGCCGAGGAATAATAATAGGTTCGTAGTTATTTTTTCGATCAGGATCATCAGATTCATGTGAATTACCAGTTTGGAATCTGCACTTTCCAGATACTCTACGTGAATCGTCTATGTTCACCAACCCGGTTAAAGCGTCGGACATTCTCTTTTCGTCTTCTCAATCTCGTAAACAACACTATCGTTGAGAGAAGGCAGTAAATAGGACCTTCTTCGAAATGTCTTTATTGAGCGACTACGTGAGAGAGCCCCAAGAGGGAGAGAGAGTCTCCTTATTCTCGGCCGTTAGAGGACATTTGAGGGCTCGAGGTTATTGATATTTGTGACTGACACTATCATAGGCCCTCGTAAAACAGAGTTATATCACATCCGACCAGTTCACGAATCTTCTGTTGAATGTGATACGATTAGAAGCAAAAGCTCAGTCAACGAGTGTATTCCTCGAAAAAGAAGCACGACATATTGTGTTGAGTCGGTATAAACAATTGAATATTGAAGAAAAAAGTTACTAAACTCAATGGAGAAGGTACTATTAACATAAATGGAAGACGGCTATAGTTCCAAACTCCCCGACTATCAGACATTCTCTACTTGGCCTCAAATAGAACGATTACTTACACAGATTATCAAACTCATAAGACGTGTATGGTCATTTTTATCCATATTCTTTTAAGTGGCTATGAAAGACTATAGTATTCAAATTATCGTATGAACTAGGAATTCCAGGATTAACGCAATTGAATTAAGAAGACACAGGCACCAACGAATGTATTGTATTTAGAATTTGAAATCAAGCATTCAACAAGTACAAAAGATATCATTAGTTCATTCAAACACCACATCCGCCACAGCTTAAATAGAAGTATAAGTGTTTGTAATCGGTTGTACGTCTTCTTGTTAAGTTCATCCTGAGTCTGTCCGACATTGTATAAGATAAAAACTTTGTAGTATCTAGAAAGTGCTCATTAGTATTGGAATTAACAAACGAAATCGGAACAGACTCACCTGGAATTGTATACAACCAGCATGTCGGTTTTGTAATGAAATCATTAATATCTAGAATTCGAACCATAGATTTTTCAACACTATCCCCCCCCACGAAATAATGTTGGATCTTTATACTCCCAAGTTATGAATAATGTGGCTTCATTTAAAACATATATCTCACATTGTTTAGAGTAAACATTAGAACTGTTTTTGTGATAAGAGTAAACAGCAGTTGATATGAAATCATCCGAAATATAATAAAACTCGAGGTCACTTAGTACTCGTGCTTCGCATTGGGCAGGTTTTTCACGAAGATCAAATACATTATGAGGATAGGTAATATATGATATGACATCAGGATTTGATTCTTCTGAAATATTCTCATGAAATTCATCAGGACTGTCATTGCAGAGCGTAGGATCGTTAGAAAAATCAGCATCTATCCAAACCACATCAGGTTTTCGATCATGATTAGGTTCATTTAACATATTTTCCTCAGAATTGCAAGTAATTTCATTAGAAATATGTGAATCATTAGGAAAAGTCATACTTGGTACAATAGCATGAGAATTCTGATAAATCGGTTGATTAGGAAATGTTGTCTCACAAGAATTCTGGATTTCATTTAACTCTGAACTGCCATATGACTCTGCACTGTCTTTTGAAATCGTTGATAAAGATAAATGATCATCATGAATACTCGACTCAGTAGAATCAGAATTACAAGACTTAATATTAATTGCAGTAAGATGAACATTAGCATTACAAACTGACTGAACTTGTCCAATATCACGACATTTGAAGCATTTAGAATTATGAAATTTACATGAATTAGAAGAGTGGAACTTGCAACAGGACAAACACTGACCAAACTTGTCCCCATCCTCGTGAACTGCATCCAAATTCAATGAATTGTCTGCATAACCTTGAGTATGCACTAGGTTGAGATGACGTAGTAATGTAGTGGACTTTTTTATATCCTCATGAATCATTTTACGAAATCTTCCTCCTTTACGACATTTGAAATTTGTATACTGAGCATAGTCTAGCAGTAGATCCTTGAGAGCTGTATAAGAAAGCGAAATGGGTTTTTCCGGCATAGCCAGAGTTCTTAATAAGCTGTATGCTTCTTTTCCAATGAATGTGAGGAAGTGTGCCACAATATTAACATCCTCATCATCTTCCTTGGTCATAGCCCAGATTTCGAACCTTTCAAAGTAATCTTCAAAAGCTTCTGAAGTTGAATGAATATCTAACTTTTCCATTGCAGGCTCCATCGCGACGCCAATATAGTATTCAAATTATCGTATGAACTAGGAATTCCAGGATTAACGCAATTGAATTAAGAAGACACAGGCACCAACGAATGTATTGTATTTAGAATTTGAAATCAGGCATTCAACCAGTACAAAAGGATCATTAGTCCATTCAAACACCACAAAGACTCATCAATAGAACTACTGAACTTTTAGTTTTCGGAAAGTTTTACACAGAAGCATCCGAGCTAATGCTCACACTGAAAAAAGACAAAAATAAATGGTTCATGTTGTTAGCAATCACACTGGTGGTTGTCAAACATCAACAGAACATATGAATGTATGAATCCCCGAAAATCATGCTAGCCTACACGCATGCAACCAACCCTATGCGCTTTAAATACAGAATGCCCGCTAGATAGGACAGTATTACAGGATGATCTCAGCTCATTGGTGGCATGGTTGGACAGGTGGTCACTAGAATTAAATCCTAATAAGAGTGTGGTGATGCAATTAAATAACTATTATAAATCGTATCAATACACAATATGTGGATTCGTGCTACCCAAAGTAAGAAGCTATAAAGATTTAGGAGTTATATTAAGCAGTGATCTCGAAACCACTAGTCTTTGTAAGGCTGCCGCTGCAAAAGGCTATAGGGTACTATGGTCTATTCGTAGGTCTTTCTAGTATTTAGATGAAATGTCTAGACTATTAAACCCGATTTATGTGCGACCACACTTAGAATATGGGATTCAAGCAGAGACTCCTTGTTTCAAGTATGAAGCAGATATGCTGGAAAGAGTCTAATGACGAGGTACTAAGATGGTACAAGGTCTGTCTGGCCTATCTTATGAAGACAGACTGAAACACCTTAACTTATTCTCGTTATCTTACTGTAGAATATGGAGTTATCGAATATTGGCTTATCGTATACTGAACGATGACCTTGGTATTAACATGTCTTATCTTTTGCTTCCGTCTAGGACTGATCATTTGAGAGGATATTCGAAGAAAGTTCAAAAACTTAGATCAAATCGTTTACGTCTGGAGTTTCGTTTCTCGCACAGAGTAGTGGATTGATAGAATTCTCTACCCGAACACATAATATCAGCACCTTCTGTTGGTATATTCAAAACGAGGTTGGACCTTCACAGTTCTGCAAGCTGCGAGGATTAATATAGGTCGGTCGACCTCCTATCCTTCTTACTGAAGACTGATCTTTAAGCCGTTAAAAGTCTTGTGAATGATTGTGCGATGGTGTTTAGATTTTACTCAGTTTTCTTCCGTGTCTTCACATCAGTGTTCGTCTCATGGATTTAGAGATGTTAAAAATTTGATTTAGTCCCTAGACTTTCCAAGATTGTAATTTCAGACGACCAGTCCTATATGGAACGTTCATTCGTACTAAGTTTGTGCGCGGTGATTGAAATAAGATCACTGCTACTTTTTATATGAGGGGCTATGTCGATAAAATAGCTATGTATTCGAATCGTATATTCCCACTTCTTTCCTTAGTGTTCGGACGTTAAGAACATCACGATCGTGATGGATCTTAATTAACATGATAGGCTGGTCAGCCTTCTGTCACTCCAGAATTTCATAATTTCACCGAAAGTTCTGGAAGTTTCACCAAAATAATGTGAATATTTTGGGAGAAGATTCAGACTAGAGGAATTTTGAGGCTTTTAGTGGCATTTTTGTCCATTGAAGCCTTAAAATTTATCACTTAAGTGGTGAGAATTTCCCCCATATCCGGGAAATTGGAGAATGAGAAATTAAGCTTAAGAGTTTATTTTAAATGCTAATAGACTCCCACTGTCTGTGTAGAGAAATCAGATACTGTGAACATTCGTATGTATTGGCCCTTGTATCATTTCCATTAATTCCACATATAATCTTGTGTGTTTGATAGTTCCTCTTCTCACTTTAACATTTAGTATTGTACCATGTTATAATATACCCGTTACATATTTGGTGAGTCTGCCAGAATGCAAACGTCTCAGTGGCAAAATTTGAGCTTATTCTTAGCCATAATTAAGGTAGCCTCTTGCTTCCCTCCACTTCACCAACATTGCGCGTCGTGGTAGGGGATGGTTCTGCATAGGTTTATGCATATCTTAACCACCTCTTTAATACTTCACCAGTTTATTATCTACATTTTCTGTTCAGACTACCTTTCTACATTTAATTTCATCTGGATTGTTAGTAGTGATGTAACTCGGACCCGTGAGTTTAGATCAAGGATTTCGGTTAAGCGATGTTTCTCAAGCTAAGTAACTCCTAACTGTACATACTTTACCCTGTCACCAATGTAGGTCTTCCAGTTGTCAATATCTGGATAACTAAACCAGTCCTAAGTACTGGAGTATAATATAGTCTTATTGACTGGTGTCTACATAGTATTATCATTTGTTCTCGAACTATTAGGAATGTAAGGTAGCCCTGAAAGCTCTTGTCTCAGAGGTAGCGTACCAGATTTTTACGCGGTTATAATCTACTGGGTAACCTGCCTACTCCTATGGGAAATGGCTGCAAGTCTATTCAAAGGGATAGACAAACATGCAGAAAATCTGTTACGTTATGTTCATCTTTGGTGACCCTTAATTGGGGAGTGCACGTCGTAGACAACGCGCGACAATGGGTTTCAGTAGAAACAATAGTTGATGCTTTGTAACAATTTTATATTAGTAATTCAAACTCTTATTCTTCACTCATTTAAACTCGTAATTTAACAGCCATCACATACATTCATTACTGGATGACTCTCATGGTAGTAAAAACATTAGAATTGCAACTATTATATCTCGAGTTCAAATTTTCGTTCCACTTTCAATGGAGCAAAACTGTAGTGTCACTAGCCTTAAAACGTGAATGAAATAAGTTATGGGACCTGAGTTCGGTTACCAAGTTATATTCGGAAACAATATTTTCGGAACCTTTAAGGCCAGTTGCTTCTGTGTTAGCATCTTCATTATAATTCTGTTTTCGCTTTCCTAACAGTCATCTGTCTGTATTTTAGGAGACATCGGACACTGAATTTAGTGATGAACCTTTGCTGAATAGTAATGATTCTGCATCTGGCAGTTTACCAAAAGCTGTGGCTAGATATGAAACAAGCTTGTCCGAAGCAGCACTTAACTGCAAGAAAAACTACAAATTTGACTTGTTGGATCTTTTGACAACATCTACTAAGTCAAACCAATGTATGCTTGGGATCGATGAAGCTGGGAGAGGTCCAGTCCTTGGTAAGTAAGAGGATTATTTCATCCTTAAGTCATTCACTATGAAAGTAATCATATTTAATAAAGTCGAGTACTTTCTTTTTCTCTTTCTATTAATGTATAGGCCCTATGGTTTATGCATGCGCCTTGTCACCAATAAGTCGGTTGAATGAACTAAAAACTATTGGACTTGCTGGTAAGTATTCATATGTAATGTATCAACACCGATTAGTATCATGCGTATGTATGAATTTTTAATGATTCTATTCCACCTTTTCTTTCTGTTTCACTGAAATTCAGATTCAAAGACATTAAATGAAAATCAACGTGACAAACTTCTTAAAGAGATGTTGAATAAATGTGATTGGATATCAGCTGTCGTCCATGTGATTAGTCCTGTATACATTACCGAGAAAATGCTAGATAAGTGAGTGTATTATCCGGTTATCAGTATTTGGTTTCATTTTGTCTGAATCATGTTCGAAAGGTCGGTTGTCTTGATTGTGATCCACAAAAGACGATCTGTAATCTGTGATTCAACACTAGGTAATGTGTCTTTCAATATTTTAGTAATAAGATCTGGGAAGAAATTGTTTGGTGAATGCAAACTGATCACTTTTAAAAGTTCACTACCTCCCATGTGTTCGGCCATCAGCAACATAGAACCTTGTGTAAATATACATCAACTGAAGTTGTAACATTACTTCAACAAAACAATAGGAAGTTGACTAAATGAAAAAAACAAGAACACTTATACTTACCGTCTGCCTTCATAAACTATCTTCCATAGTAATAGCAACTAGTAAGCCGAAAATCATTCGCCAATATTTTTTTTAACTGCTGTCAATGTATCATATAAAATTTTCAATAGTTCTACGTCGCACTGAATTATGTCACTTAGATTGTTTTTGTTTGTTATCAGGTCGAAAACTAGTTTAAATGCTATATCTCATGATTCAGCCATACAACTTATTCAATCAGTTCTTGACAGTGGAGTAAATTTGGTTGAGGTAAGAAATGTAACTTACATTATAACTATCATCAACAATATATTTATTGTTTTACCATTTCTATTTTCATTATCACATCTTTTGGTGATTTGCGTGCCCGTTTTTCTTCAAGACTAGATCATCACACTATCTGGTGGCTAAAACTCAGAAAGGTAAAGCAGAGTTAAAAATATTTTCGCAAATTTTAACTTAGATTACTCTTTTAAAGAACAGACCTATTCCATCTCTAATGTGAGCATTAAAAGAGTTTTCCAACAGCTTAAATTTAGTTTTACCTATTTTTGAAATAATCAACTTAACGTGGTTACTCAGTTCCATTTCATTCTGTATAGCTGACTTGTGAAGAATTAAAAGTCTAACAAACTTGTATAATCGGGATACACCCATTAAGACATTAAATAAGAAAGATTAGTTCAGCGAAGAGTTCTCTTTTCGGCGGATTCATTTTCAAAGTTGTACAATCGCAAATATATATACTTATTTTTACAGGATGATAACAATACTGACGATAAACTTCTGTTAGACATGGTGACAGTGAAGTCAAATAAAAAAAGATGGGAACCCAGCTGTGGAAACTTGATAGTTGGCTATTCCACATGGGTTTCCTGTAGATAGGTCTTCTCAGAGTACCATCTTGCTTTCCCGTCATTTTCACATCAAGAAAGTGAATGTTTTGTTTGTTTTCAACTTCTAGTGTGAATTTTATTACTGGATGGCAATTATTAAACGTCTTTAGGAGATGACTCAAGTAAGATTTGTTGTCACAAATGATAAGCTGAAACCAAACAAAATATTCACTTTATTGGTGTGGAAATGACAAGAAAGCAAGATGGTGCTCTAAGAAGATCTATCTACAGGAAACCCATGTGGAATGACCAACTATCAAGTTTCCACAGCTAGGTTCCAGTCAGTAGGAAAAGAAACTTAATAATAACACTCGGCACAAGAATACGACGAATCTGTAGTCCCGAAGTCATAGATGAAGAATTGGCCTCTTGAGGGAGATACTTATAAAAAACGGCTATCCTTTGATATTCATTGTTAAGAACATGAGGCCGAGAACTCCGAAAACAAATAATTACAGTGGAAAAGAAAACTTTATACATGAACATCGACTTCAAGGGTGACAGAGCCATATGTATCCTGAGGAGGAGAATTTATGTTTCCTTAAAAAGAACATTCTTCGCAGCAACACTGCGGATAGTATTCTCAATCGACCACTGTTCACTAATAATCTTAAAGATAAATTATCGCATCTGACCAACTCAGTGTGTATTTACCAATTTACCTGCCCATGTGGAGCTAGATATATAGGTCGTTCGATTCGTACTTTATCCAAAAGAATTCAAGAACATTGTCCGGCGTGGCTAGAAAGAGGAGGCAACGGCTCAATACGAAGTTCAATAATCGAACACCTTGTGAACACAGGTCACTTAATCAAGACAGACTCTGCGTTCAAAGTCATCTACAAAGTAAGTAGGAGTCTTTCAAAGACAGTTAGACTGCATCTTCTTTGCATCGCGGAAACATTAGCCATACATCTTGAAAAATCAGGATTGTGTGTATGAGACACTGGTACAACCTATTCTTCTACCATGGTCTTAATGTTTTATTTTTTTCTCTTTCACACTCTTCCTCCTTTACAGCCATCTGCTTCACCTTCCATCCTCTACCCCTAACTGGATCATTTGTTTCCACGATCATTCTGATTACATTTAGTCTCAATTTCACCATTTTATCTTATCATGCTGAGCCATTCTTTCCAAATCATAATTTCCTTATCTTTTGATGAATACCCAAGCCACTAACAATCAAACGATTATTAAATTTTCCTTGTTTAAAAAAATTTAATATCTTTGTTTATTTAACCTCACTGTCACCATGTCTAACAGAAGTTTGTTATCAGGATTATTATCATCCTGTAGAAATAAGTATATATATTTGCGATTGTACAACTTTGAAAATGAATCCTCCGAAAAGAGAACTCTTCGCTGAACTAATCTTTCTCATTTAAACTTGCATAATCTCTTCAGTATTCAGTATAATATACTTTGTGTATTTGTTTAATCAAGATACTTTTCTTCTGCGTAGGCCTTACTATATTATTAGAAAATAAGGATAAGCTCTCGCAACGTCCGAAAGGGATTGTCAAATTTTATGTTACTTCAAATCTTTGCAGAGACAGTTACTGATAGAGAATCATGTTTTTCCTCGATTAATCTATTGCTTTATGTTGTTCATGTGTATATGTATTTCAACCAATCAGGTTTACGTTGATACTGTTGGCAAAGCTGAACATTATCAAACTAAACTACAAAATCTTTTTCCTCAATTAAAAATACGTGTTGAAAGCAAAGCTGATGATATTTATCCAATTGTGAGTGCTGCTAGTATCTTCGCAAAAGTAAGTCTATTGATTTTTTTTTGAATAACAAAATTTTCATTGTTCTGTGTGTGCTTGTGTATGAACGGATTCATTTCAACTTTGGTTTCCTATGAATTATTTTTCGATCCTATCCATTATATAAAAACTTTGTAATATTAGTAGTTTGCGTATAAATGTGTCATTCTGTAATTGAATTCAAAGTCAAATTATTTTGCCCAATTATGATAATTAAAAGTATTCGAACTATTGTACGAACTGGGAATTCTCGGAACAGTGTAATTTAAACCAAGTGTGGTGCATATATATTTGGCGCACTCTTGTACCAATATTTATGTGTCCAAATAAATAAATAAGTAAATAAAAATTTAAACCAAACAGAATTAGAGGAGTACAAACGAACGTATTGTCTTTGGAATTCGAAATTAGCCGGGTGATCAAGTACAAAAGAATCATCAGTTCGTACAAATACCACACCTATCTATACAACTCTGACTTAAATCTGACTCGCAAGTTCTATTATTTGACACTTATTACACTCCGACACTGTCTGTACCAGACTACAAATACTCAATAATTTATCTGCTCATTTCATTTTATTAATGCTTGAATGAATCAACAAGTGAACAACAATCAATCATTCCATTAAAATTTGAGACCTCAAAATGCTCATCTCATATCTTAACATCACTTACAGATATTGAAAGTCTGCTCACCCAAGTTCGTTACATACTAGGAACTTATAACCGGAGACGAAATCTTGTGACCAAACATGGTGAACACGTATATGATAATAAACACCTGTTTCTATAGTGTTGCCCTATGCTTAAATATGACTGTACCTCTGTATATTATAAATCTGACTTTCATCTACTACTGCTCGAATTACTTATTTATTTGGCTTAGAATAAATTGGTACTCGTTATTTAGACATTTTGTGAATAATTATAACGCAGAAATAAAAGGCGATTTTCCTCAGTCTAGATAATTTTTCAATGAATTCAGGTTACTCGGGATCGAGTTCTTCAAATGTGGCCTAAAGAAGAACGTGGGAGTGTACCCGAAGGCACTGGTCTTGGTTCTGGCTATCCAGGTGGTAAGTTTTTATCTTTTATGTTATATATTAAAGATCGGATTTGTTATATTTAAATTTTACTCCCTATCAAGCAAGAATACATTTAGTCAATTATAATTGCTTTAATTGATTGTTATATTTGTTGCAATGGACGTATGTTATCGTCTTATGATCTTCATTTCTTGTTCGTTCATTAACTGACAAGAAATAAGTTATCAAGATTTAATATTTCGACTTAGTAAACTATACCTTGAGGTCCATTTTATATAATCGCTTTCGGTTTAGCTGACCTATGATTGCTTGATTTCTAAATCTTTTCAGTTAAAATTTAAACATTGGTCGCGTCAGTAAACTGTATGTTCGATTATCTGACTTTTTTGTTAAGTCACTTAAGCCGCCATAACATGGCTAGTGAACTGTTGGATAACTCGGATCTTGTTCGACATGGTTTAGAAGTAACCTCAATATTGACATGCAGTTGTGTTTTCTCTAAATTTTAAGCTTATTTATTATTTCGGGTCAACAATTAATCGATAGTAGTTCAGTTTCCTTACTACCATAAACTTTAAAAAGAATATTATTGGTTTTAAAGTAATGCAATTAAGTATCCCATGTGAAGCTAGGTGAACTTATTTTTGTCAGCAATATTCACAAGTTTTCTAATTATTTGTGGATCACCTATTATTGCAACTTCATTCAATGGATCCCGTGAAACCCATTTATCTTTGATTGTAATGTTGAAATTTATGAAAGTTGTTTAGTCAAAACCATCACTTAATTCGGTGTGGATGTACAGTGTTCACACAAGAAATAAGAAATTGATCGATCAATTAATTATAATACCTCAACTAATTAGGAGATTAAGATGTGATACTCAGTCCGTTAGTCAAACGCAACATGAAACCTGATATTTATGTACATCGCTTCAAGCTGCTACACCCCATTAAAACAGCTATGTGAAATTGTCAGGGAAAATCCCAGAGTGAATAACTCGTCGTCGACGCATTCGACTATTTCACTCTCTATCCTTAGTTCAGGTATTGATGCAAGCCAGTCCTGAAGCAACAACTTGCATTTAGAGGGGGAGAAACGCATCCAATCCACTGAGCCTCCAACTTTAAATCCAAAAGCAATAACTTTGGCTATCTATCAGTTAAATGCTCTCTTCCATTCCTTTCGTGGTTAAAAACTCCATCCTTTATTTCCCGGTTCCATTTTTCCTACACATTAATAGTAACTGACAGTTACTGGAACCAATAGCTTTATGCTAAATATGGTAAGCTCATATTTCACCTACTAACCAAGAGTCTAAACTTTTTCCAAACTGTTTTATGGGACGACTATTAAAAGTACTTCGCTATGATATATCATTATTGGGAAATGGGGACGTACACATACGGGACAAGAGGGACGAAATAGGCCTTCTTTGGTACCACCTACAATCTTAGTTCAAAGTATTTGTATTTTGATTTAATAGGTTTGTTGCTATTGTTCTAAAATTCATATGACCTTTTTTCAAAATTTTTACGAAGATCCCGTCACCAAAAGTTATTTACGTGCATGTATGGATCCAGTTTTTGGTTTCCCGTCTCTTGTGCGATCTAGTTGGTCAACTGCATCTTCTCTATTAGACCAACATGGTGTATCAGTTAGGTGGTAAGTTTCTCTCTATACTGTCTAAGTGTATATGCCTTCATCTTCTAAATAAAATAATTTCAGAGGTTCTAAACACTCTAGAAAGCAGTAAATATCACATTATCTGTGGTCAATTGCTGACTAGAAGTTGACTTCATCGAAGTTAACCCCAGCTAAGACATATGTCCACTTGTAATATTTTGAGACAGTAATATTCAATATATTTTGGCTTCAAATTTAAAATTAATTCACTGGCTGGACCATAATTTATGGACAAACCAATCAGATTAAGGTGGCTACTTGTGTATCTGTGCACGAAATACGTTCATCCGTGTGGCTAAATAATATTTTGACATTATCGTTGGTGTCAGTTCGTAATGACAACTTTAACTTCAATACCGAACTCTAGCTTACAACTCTAACTCATAATCCTAATTCCTCACACCAATTTTTAACGCTATTTTGATTTTTTCCTCAACTGAGAGTTTTTTCATTCATCATATCATCATCATTAATTGCTATATACATAAATTTGTTTGCTTAAGTTAATTTGAAACAAAAATCGTTGTACATAATGTCACTCTGCTAACTCCAAGACCTGTTAAATAATGTAAAAGTATAAAATGACTGATTTCCAAAGTTTATCTCTTTTTAAAGTGTTGACTATACATAATTCCGTTAGATATATGGAATATTAAAAATGTGTAACACCCAGTTTCAAATCCAATCTTAATTCTTCATCTTTAAACACTAGTGCTGTAATTGGTACATATTTATCTTTCATAGAATAAAATGTTAATGTAAATCAATTACATTTTATACAATGATAATTTTATAAACCAAAAATAAATGTAATCATCTCGTAGGTTAGTCTACTCTTTTGATGATTTAATTCTCTGTCAATCATGATCAAAATGTTCGCCAGCCCAAGTTGCCATATGGTATCGTTACGGTGGGATAAAACTACCTAGGTGAATAGAGTAAGATTTAAAATTATCATGGCATAGTGAGAAAGACTAAATATTGGTGAGTATGATTTTAAAAAACTAGGGATAAATTATTGACTAAACATTGCAACTCAGGACTCAGCAAAGAAACATTAACTCCAAGGTGTGTTACCCAACATCTCCAGTCACTGGTCCTTGTTTTTGGGTGTATAGTTCGCAATAAAATTCCAGGAGAAAATTAAGTATTTAAAAAACAACCATTAAAAACTAAGGGTCCTTAAACATACCTTCTGTCCTGTTTTTTAAACTATTCACCACCTGAGACTTTCGGGCTACACGAGAATAGTATTTGTTCCAATTAGCGAAATCGGGATACATGTCAATAAAAAGCCTCAATAGATTTCTACGATAAAAATATTAGTATGACTGTTCGTCTAAGTGTTTCAACGTATTTATAAAGTAACAGGCTTTGTAGAAATGAAATTTTCCTGATTTTCTCGTTGTGTTATTTTTTAAAAATTTAAAATGTTTATTTTCCGACCTTTTTTTAAAAAATAATATTAGGGAAGATGATGAAACACACGAAGAAGTAATTCAAGCTAAAAAACTTGCACGAAAACGTGAGCATTCAAAAGGTACTTGTAAATTATCTAATTATTTCAATAATGCTCAGTCGAGATCGTCCACACCTGATGCGTTACAGAGACAACCATTTTTTGTACGAACTGGTCTTGTGCATGTTCAGACTATCACATAAATTTTATGAGATATATTATGTATAATTTTCTTTGTATAGATGTTTCATCATATTTCTCTAATAAAATCGATCTCTGATAACCAGTTACATTTCTTGTGTGCGATTTATGTCACTGATCTGAAAAAAGAGGTAAAATATCAAATATTAAATATGACATGAGAATGTTTACTGTTCACCAGATAATCTCATAATTCCCCCGCAATTGTAATCCAAATGTAACGTCAAGCATATGTTTTTTGTTGTGATGGAGATTTTTTTACTGTGATAGTGAGTATTTCTCAAACTAAGGTGACCAGGTGTTTATAAGATGGGCAAACACAAATTCGACTTCACTTCACTTCAAGGAGATTGTACCTAGTAGAACATTTAGTTAAAAAACTATGCCAAACTAACTCAATCGGTTTTGTTTCATTCAAAAGAATCATTTATTGTAATGTTAAGGATTTCACTAAATAGAACGTGGGGATTATGTTTACATTGATACATGATCTAACACTTGAATCATGTTTATTAGTAAGATCGATACTACTACACCTTCATGTTATTCGTCCTATTTCTTACAAACGCTGACGTGGACCTGTTCAGCATGAACAAAATACAACTGATATATTGCACTGTTGTCTTTCTATAGCTATGGTCAGGCCGTCTGAACAAACCGTCTCTTCAGCTTATAAGTATGTCCACGTGATCATTTTATGAATAGGATAGTTTTCATTTGTCATGCTTACACAAAGTTTAATACAAATGAGGATCGTCAGAAGATTCATTTAATAGAGTCAACCATGCTACAGAAGATGAAGTGGAGCTATCAGATGAAATATTGTTAAGAAATAGCTACTCATTAAAATTCATAGACTAATGAAGTGACCATGATATGTTGAGGCTTATTAGTTATTTTTAACGAAGCATTAATATTCACATCTTAGCATTCAGAGCAGGGTGTGATTGCCGTGTAATAAATGCAGATTAAGTCAGCTGTCATCAGAACATTTTATGTAACCAAAGTCATCAGATTGATAGGTTTTGTGACATCTCTTTGTTGGAAGTCAGTACTACAGTTGACCAGTTTCTATTGCCATTGCCTCGATAAAGTCTAGTCACAAGCTTTTTCTAGGTGTTTTGCAGTTAAATCAAGAATACGTATTTTATCTTATTTAGTACTTGTCAGCTGGATGTGCCTGCATTTCAGGACTCACATATGACAACAGAGACCGGTCATTTACGGTTCTGGATTTCAGCAACAAGAATTACAAGCCTTATTAACTCATCCATACTTATTGAAAAAGTTGGTAGTTTTCTGAACCAAGTGGATACCACACTGGCATTTGAAATGGAAAATGTTGATTTCGAGTTTGGTTGTTAAAATCACCATTGGCAGGCAGGTACATTCATACAAATAGGACGAAACGCACTTTCTGGATTTCACTGCCACCCATACATTACGTAGACTCCAAACACAGTAATCAGTAGTTAAATAAAGTTCATGCTTGACAAAGAACCAAAAAATCTTGTAAACTATTTCGTAACATCCTGAGTGACATAAATATCCAGTAGTAATTATGAAACATAAACAAAGGTGGTCTAACATTTATATGATTCGCCTCATAAAAGTAGACGTTTAATATCAATGCTTTTCTAATACTAAATATGATTTTCGAAAAGGCAGTATTTGTCTACTAAACGTATGCTTTACAGAGTCTTACAAAACGTGAACTCCTGATTATTCCTGTATGATTATAACCTATCGAGTAGTGACTTGGATTTTCGCAATGAATGCATAGTTTGAAGTAGAATATTCATGTGTTTAGCACACGAAAATCTTCGCATATACTGGAGGGACGTCTTACCGTAAAATAAATCGCTATTCCATGAAAAGACTTGATAGACAGAAACGTTTCCTCAAGTTGTCGACATGACAAACTTTAAGTACGTTTGTTGACACACAATCAATGTTTTTACTGAATCTGTTATGATAAACTTTTGTATTTTTCATAGAAATAGCTAAACTAGACAAATATATACATAATTCCTAAAAATATAACTGTCATGATTGGTTCTGAAGTGTATATATTACTCCAATGTATCATTATAAAACGAGACAGTCGCTTTATTGGGATATGTAGGTTTACTCTACGGGCTTTTATAAATGCATAGATTGACTTATCATTGTTATATATGTTGAAAACCATGTTGTTACAAACCTACTCAACTGCTGTTGTCATCCTTCACTTGAAGTTCTTTTCTACTGAATTTTTTACATCAGAATTCAAGGACCAGAATAGATAAAAACTCATCGATCGCGTTTTTTTGTCCTATTTATGGTCCAACTTACTAAAACTTCATTAGAAGCAAATTTTAGTCCTATGCTTTTTAAATTTAAATTCGTCGCATAAATTGCTGGACAAAAAACCTTATTTGAATAAGTTTACGTAGAGATCTTTATCTATTTAAATCAAATAATTTAACATAGTGGAACGATTGAATTGTATCCGCCTAACTTAGTTCTGGTCAATCCAGTTCACCAACATAACTATTTAATCGAGAAAATAGTATTTAACAAAAAAAGATCAATGTTATACGAATACGTTAACAAGCTATATTTTTGGCATAATAACGTCTAAATCCCCCCAAAAAAATAAACCAAACAAATATGAATCTGTTAACTAGTCAAAAAGTACTTTAAAGTATATTCAGTCTTCAGTTCTCTGGTCTATCCGATGGTCTTGGTGACATCTTTTTACAAGATACTGTACAGATTGAACGTTGAAATCCATGCCTAAAATTTCGCAAAAATATTAAGTACAGGAAGAAATTCACTGCATAAGTAATATCTTTAACAGATGAGAAAAGTCTGGACAAATCAATAATACACATTGCGTACGGTTTATGCCTATCCACATGTGATAAAGTTAGACTTAGTCGTATTAATACAAAACATACCATCGGTAGGTACAATAATAAGAATGCAGTACTCAAAGCTAAATGTCCAAAAACTCGTCCCATTTCCATACGATTCCGCGAAGAGTCAGCCGGTAATAAAGCTGTTCGATTAACTTTCAATTTCCATAATTCAATACAAATGAAAACATTTAAAAATAATACAAGACAAAATGGTATTGTGAACGTGACGATTGTTTCAAATGTTATGGTAAATTTTGCTACTGGATGTTCAGAAATCATTCTACAAGTAAAATTTGTTCGACTCGATTTATCAACCATTAAAGTTTGTACAAATAACAATGGTGAATTACTAAGTATTCCCATTGAATATACAAGAATACATGCAATCAAAGCCCAATGTTTATGATATATTGAATAGAATTTAATCGGTTTATGAATAGTTAATAGACGATCAATTGAAAAAATCACAATTAAATAAGATGATGTAAAGTACATAGTATTCGATATATATTCAACACTTTTACACCAAAATGTTGAAATCGTATCTAATTTAAAATAGAATTGATGATTTGTTGCATAATATAGACCACGTCCAAGAAAATCATCAATAAATGTATTCATAATTAATGTAATATATTAGCAATAGCTAAAAAGATTGAATAAATTGAAAATCTTGATAATTGTTTTTCTTTTAAAAAAATGATTACAATAAAACTATTTCCAATGACACCGATAATTGCAATTATTGGACATATATATGCACGAAAACTACCAACCAAATTACTATAATCTGTAATTGTAGTATTATTTGACATTTCTTTTGTTATTAATTATTATAGTTCTTTTTTATAAATGAAACATAATTGAAATTATAAAAATAACATGATTGCGTTTGTTTTGTTTACTGGCGTGTGCATAATGATGGTAATGCTCAAAAGTTCTTTCAAACTATATGGATATTATAGATGTATATATATATGTGCTCCAAAAATCAATAAACTTTCCTTCCTTCCAATCAAATAAATTCCACTTATTTTTTTCTATATTTAATTATAATAAATAGTTCATATTATCTATTCAAATAAATCGATAATTCATTAAATTAGTTTATTGTATGTAAATTTTGTTTATAATACAAAAAAAATTTTTTTAAACTGAACAAATTTTATCCTTCATTGATCAATATTATATACAATCGATCAATATATTTCTCTTTGAGAATATAAATGAATAATACTCATTGATTGAACTGAATTTTCGAATGGATAAAATAGTATAGTATGGTAATAATAATATAATAATAATAATAATAATAATAATAATAATAATAATAATAACAAAGGTTTATAGAATCAAATAAATGAATTTGACATTTAGTCTTGATAACTTCTCATCAATGTTTTTCTAAAAGAGTAATGTGATTAAAAATAACAATGTAATAGTATATGGGGTTGTGGAGATTGTCAAATTTTTTAATTGAGATCATGAATGAATCAATGTTAAACCATCATTGTAAACCTGAATGTCTTTTAATGGCCCGGGATCTGACTCCAAGTAAATCGTATGATTGATTGTTATTGAAATATATATATATATATATATATATATATATATATATATATATATGTATATATATATATATATATATATATATATATATATATATACTTATTTATTTTAACACATAGATATTGGTACAATGAGGCACCAAATACATATGCACCACACAAATCTCATTTGATATGTGTGAGGGCTGTGATACTGCCCGGGTGCCCAAACCGAAGCAGGTGATTTTCTTAGGGGCCACACCCGGAGCCTTCGACCTGAAGGTTTGATCTACAAGGCAGTGTAGCATCGTAAGGAGATGCAATCCCATAGAAGTCGATGACCAACAGTTGGCTCATACGCCATTTGTTGCCTCAGGATACTGGAGCCCATATGCACCATTGATTTGGAATCCGGTAAAAGCGCTGAACATTCGCTTTTCATCCTCTCATTTTCGTAAACAACAGTAGTGCCACGAGAAGGCAGTGAGTAGGACTTCCCTGGCAGAGGCTGTATACGCGTGGCCGTGTGAGAGCATTTGGAGAGGGAGAGCG